TCACTACGCTACCAGAGGCCCATGGCTCTTGATTCCAGTTCCACTCAGAGACCCCGTGGGATACTAGAACGTCTCCTTAAGGTTGTCTTGCAGAAGCAGGCTGCTTCCTGTTTCTCCCTTACGGCTGCTGGTGGGTTGGAGCTGCCAGTATTTCAGGTAGCAGCCCAATGCTTAACCCACCGTGCCACCAGGGCTCCTGTGTATATATGTACACATATGTATTATATGCACATAAACACTGGACTGCTAACCACAAGGTCAGCAGTCCAAACCCACCAGCTGCTCCTTGGAAACCCTATCCAGGGTGGCTATGAGTCAGACCAACTTGATGACACTTTACAACAGCAACAACAATGCCGTATACACACACTCACACACACACACTCACACACACACACTCACATACTCACACACACACTCACACACATTCTTCAGGTTTTTGGGTGGTGCTGAGTCTGTGCTCAGCTACAAATCACAAGGTTTAGATCCACCCAGTGGCACTGCAGAAGAAAAGACCTGGCAATCTGCTTCCATGAAGGTTTCAGAATAAAGATTCTAAAAGATTGCAAGAAGACCCTATAGAAGTGTTCTACTCCCTGACATATGAAGTCTCCTTGAGTGAGAATTGACTTGACAGCCTTTTCCCCTCTCCAGCTTTGTATCTTCTCATCAGGAATCCTCTGGGAATAAATAGGAGGTGGGAACTGAGGGATATTTTGTGCTCATATTCTCAGCGCTCTGGGACCCAGAGTCTGCACGTGGTACTTCTAAGTGTTTGAACTTAGGGCTACTGGGAAGTGGCATTCGCTTTCTCCAGAAAAGGGCCATTAACTCCTGCTTCCTGGTGATGTGGCACAGTAGGTTAGGCATTGGGCTGCTCACCACAAGGTCCGCAGTTCAAACCCACCAGCCACTCTGTGGGAGAAAGATGAGGCTGTGTACTACCATAAAGATGGACAGTTTTGGAAACCCTTTATAGGCCGCTGTGAGTGGGAATCGACTGAATGGCAGAGGGTTTGGTTCTGGTTCTGACACTCCTTGTTCCCGAACGTCTTGTCTCTCCACCAGCTTGCGTGCAGAACAACCCACCTCAGTACATCTCTCTCTGTGGGGTTTCCTTTGTTCAATTTTTGAGTCAGAGACTCCTTGGAGAGCCTGATGGGAACTGTGAAACCCCTGTTTCCAGAAAATAAAATCATGTTTCCATTGAATCAACTTCAGATCCATGGAAACAACACATGCATCAGCCTAGAACTGTGCTTCATGGGGTTGTCAGCAGCTGTGATCTTTTGGAAGTAGATCACCAGGCATTTCTTCCAAGGTGCTGCCGGGTGGATTTGAACCACCAACATTTTGGTTGGTAGCTCAGTGCTTAATTGTTTGCATCATGCAGGGACACCTTCTGTTCCCAGAAAAGGGCACCTGCAATTTGCATGTGAAGCCTGGGGGAGAGGGGGTCACAGAGCTCTAGAAGCCTGAGGAAGCGCCCTGAGGAAGGAGTTCTAGGCGGGAGAGGAGACTCACGGGGCTAGGCACCCCTCCACGCCCCACCTTTCTCTAAGGGAGGGGCACCATGTGAGGGGAGGCTGCACATTCCAGGCTCTGAGCCTACTGTGTGTGCCCACTTCCTGACTGAGTATGGCCAGTTTCCCAGCCTGTGTCTGTCTTAAGTTTACTCATCTGCAGAATGTGGACAGTAAACGCTTCACAGGAAGGCAGCTCTGTTGCTACCTGTGCCTTTAAGAATTTGTAGGTGAGTCAGACTAGGTGCCTGATGTTCTTATCTTAGCCTTTTTAGAGATTTCAGAGCAGCTTGTGTAGCCAGTGAAGGTGATTGTGAGGAAGAATGGGTTGGTTTGATGGTTTCAAAGTGAGGGCAAATTTACATAATAATAAAAAGGGCAAGTAGGAATGTTCCATGGGTTCTTAACCTGGAGGCTGCCTGCTTTATTGTGTTAGAGAACTTATTATGTGCTATCTAGTCACTCCACGGGAGAAAGATGAGGCTTTCTACTCCCATAAAGATTTACACCCTTGGAAACCCTGTACAGGGTCGCTATGGGTCGGAACCGACTCGACAACACTTAACAACAACAGTTGATTTTTGACTCTTAACCACCCCCCTGTGACAGAGAACGGCCCCACAGGGTTTCCTAGGCTGTGAGCTTCACGGGAACAGATGGCCAGTGTTTTTCTCCCACAGAGACGTTGAGTGGATTTGAACTTTGAACCTTTAGGTTAGCAACTGAGCACTTAACCATTGCATCATGTGGGCTCCTTGTGTTACATATAAAGGGTGTAAAGTCAAGCATAGATTTAGGAGAAGGTCTAGAAAGGGGAGCCATTGCTGTACTTACTTTTCTCAAATCCTCCCCGCCTTGTCTCCCTCCCTGTGGGTCTGTTGAGTGGCGTCTGCGATTCCAGATTGCCCATGTTCCTGCTGTTCCGTCTGCCAGGAACACCCTTCCTTCCTCCCCTGTCCCAGGGTCTTTTGTAACTCTCAGCTCAACTCCCCACCTCTGCAGCGCTTCCTGTGCCTCCCAGGGACCCTCGCCTTCTCCTTTGTGGCACCTCTCTGAGTCCTCAACCTGGATTAGTATGGTTGTCCCTCTGACACCTGTCCTACTGGGTGAGTCACAAGCTCAGGGGGATGTGGGAACCAGCATGGGCAAAGGCCCTGGGGCAGGGGGGCTATGACCTAGAGAAATGTCAGTGAGGGCAGGAGAAATGAGAGAGATGGGCAGAGAGGGACTCCGCGGGTCACATAGAACCTTCTGGTCTACATGGACCAAAATGCCAAACCCTCTGCTGCCGAGTTGGTTCCGACTCAACATGATTCCGTAGGACAGAGTTGAACTATGCCAGAGGGTCTCTGAAAGGCACCCTGGTAGTGAATTATGAGCTGAGCTGCTAACCGCAAGGTCAGTGGTTTGACTGTACCAGTCGCTCCGTTGGGGAAACATGATGCTTTTCCCTCCCATACAGATTTACAGCCTCAGAAACCCTATACAGTGTTACCATGAGTCAGAACTGACTCCGCCACCACCACCTGTCTCATCTTCCTCCCAGGCAACACTGACGGGTTCGAAACCAAGGACCTTTCTGTTAACAGCTAAATGCTTAACTCACTGATACACTAGGCCCCTCCCATAAAGATTTAAATAAAACAACAACAGACCAGAAATCCAATGCTGTCAAATTGATTCTGACTCCTACTGAGCCTACAAGACAGGAGAAGGGCTCCATGGAATTTCTGAGACTGTCAGTGTTTATGAGAGCATGCTACCTCATCTTTCACCCCTGAAGTGGCTGCTGGGTTTGCAGTGCTGACCGTGGGGCACCACCAAGTCTCCTAACCACAGTGTAGGGATAGGATTTACAACAAGTATGTTGAAGGAGCATCCCAGGTCGGTGGCTCAAACCCACCAGCCGATTCTTCCTATGTAAGGTGTCTATGAGTCAGAACCAACTCTACAGCACTTAACAAGAGTACAATGTTGAGGGGATGCAGTTCAATCCAGAACAGGGTCCTAGGAGGTCTGATGGTCTAAGCCAACTGTTTGCTCAGGCATGGCCCCATGTGGCAGGTGCTGCCTCAGTCTCCCCAGCTTACCTGAGATGGTGGTGAAGTGTGATGGGGAGGTCATAGTCACAAAGGGTGGGGTCAAGTACTTGGCCTTCACGCCTTCTCTGGCCAGGCGGTCCATGTTGGGGGTGTCCACATCCTGGTCATAGTTCCAGCGGAAGCCGTCAAAGGAGATCAGAAGCAGCTTGTGGGGGCCTGCCCTCCCAGTCACGGGGTGTCCACCAACACAGCCCAGCAGGATGGGCAGCAAGAGTGCCAGACAATGGAGTCCTGCCATGCCCCGGGTGTCTTGAGTGCACACGGCTGGAGCTCAGGCGCCCGCAGTCCCACTCTCTCCCCTTTTATCTGCAGCGGGACAAAGTTCACATTGATAATTCCATTCTCACCTCCTGTGTCACGCAACACCACAGGGCAACATGAGGCCATGTCTCTGGAAGTTGGAGTAGGGGAATGTTTGAGACTCTGGCTCAGTGCCACACTGTGAAGATTTGAGTAAAGGTGTGTACCTCAGATCTTCACAGTGAGCTAGGCAGTCCCCACACTACATGGCTTTCTACATCTGTCAAAACTGGCAGGCTTGCGCAACACAGAGAGTGAGGCCTGATGCGAGCTCTGGACACCAGTTAACTATGGTATGTTGGTACCAGGCCATTGGGGTAACAGATGTGTCACCAGGAGGCACACTGTTAACAACAGGAAACTTTGTGCAAAGATAGCATGAGTATAGCAAAGTATTCCCCCAAATGTGTTGAAACCCTAACCCCTGTACCTATAATTAGGGGGCCCTAGTAGAACCACTAACCCTCAAGGTTCAAACCCACCAGCTGCTCCATGGGAGAACGATGAGGCTGTCCACTCCAGCAAAGGCTTCTGGGGTCACTATGAGTCTGAATTGACTCACTGGTAGTGGGTGGGTGGTACCTATAATTTGGAGTTCTTGAAGCCCAGGCCACCGCTCATCTACCTGTTTGTCATATTGTGGGGGGCTTTCTATTGCTGTGATGGGGACAATATTTGACTTGCTATGCTACTGTTACTTTAAATACCAGTAGGGTTACCCCTGGTAGACAGGTTCAGTGTAGCTTCCAAACTCAAACAGACTGGGAAGAAGGAGAGGCAGACCATTTCTGAAAGTTTAGCCACTGAGAACCCTGAATATCAGGGGAACACTTCCTGATTTGGTGCTGGAAGAGGAGCCCTGAGGGTGGAAGGCGCTCCAAGTAAAATTGGGGAAGAGCTGCCTCCTCAGAGTGAGCTGGTCTTAAGGAGGGGATGGAGCAAATCTTTGTGGACCTTCATTTGTTCATGGGACACAACTCAAAATGAGAGGCAGCAGCAAAATACATATAACTAATCATAACGTGGACTTGCATAAAATTGCAGTTAAAACTGGACTGGAATGCAGAAAGGTTAATCTTCTAGGTGTTAGTGAGCTGACATGCACTGGGATTGGTAATTTTGAATCGGGCAATCATATAGTTCACTATGCCAGGAACAACGAACTGAAGAGAAATGGTGTCACATTCATCTTCAAAAAGGACATTTCAAGATCTTTTTAAAGGTTCAATGCTGCCTGTGATAGGATAATATCCTCATGCCTACCATGAAGACCAGTTAATACCACTATTTTATACGTTGTTGTTGTTGTTGTTAAGTGCCGTCGAGTCATTTCCGACCCATAGTGACCCTGTGTAGGGTTTTCAAGGAGCAGCTGGTGAGCTTGAACCACCAACCTTGCAGTTCAAACTGACTTTGCAGGCTGGCGCATTAACCCACAGCGCCACACCAGGACCAACCCCTAATGCCAATGATGAAGAAATTGAAGAATTCTATCAACTTCTTCAGTCTGATATTGATCAAGCTTGCAATCGAGATGCAAGATTACTGGTGATTAGAATGTGAAAGTTGGAAACAAAGAGGAATTGTAAGTAATTGTAAAATGTGGCCTTGGTGATAGAAATGATTCTGGAGAACCTATGATAGAATTTTGCAAGACCAAATTATTCATTGGCAAATGCCCTTTTTCAATAACATACATGGTGACTGTCCACTTGGTCCTCCCTAGATGGGTCACACAAGAATCACATTGACTGCATCTGTGGGAAGAGACAGTGGAAAGGCTTAGTGCCATCAGTCCAAACAAGGCCAGGGGCCACCTGGGGAACACACTATCAATTGTGTGTGTTTATTTGTGTGTTTTTGAGGTTTTCTTTCTTTTGGTACTCAGCAAATGTGTAAGCAAGCTTGAAAACGATGGTCCCAGGCTCGCTACTGCTGTGTGACCTTCAGCAGTCCGACAAACTCTCTGAACTTGTGTTTGTGTTTCAATTGTGCAAAACAAAATGGAAACAAGTCCTTGAGAGCCAAATCGGACCTTGAATGCATCCCATCTGAATTTAGAAACCATCTTAGGAACAGATTTGATGATTAGATACTAATGACCAAAAACCAGGAGAGTTGTGTGATGACATCAAGAACATCACGCGTGAAGAAAGCAAAAGGTCATTTAAAACGTAAAAAAGGAATAAAACACCAAAATCGATATTAGAAGAAACTTTTGAAATTTGCTTTTGGGTGTAGGGAATGTAAAGCAATTGGAAGAAGTGAGAATGCAAAAGAGTTGAACTGAAAATTTCAAAGGGCAGCTTTGAAGACAAAGTGAAGTATTATGAAATGTGCAAGACATGGGGTTAGAAAACCAAGAGGGAAAAGCACACTCAGTACAATGATTGTGAGTTTGGTGCAGGGCCGGGTAGTATTTCATTCTCTTATGCATTGGGTTGCTGTGAGTCAGTACTGACTCGATGGCACCTAACAACAACAAAACAACAAATTAAGTATTAAAAAATAAACTCACTCCTGTGTCTCTCATGCCCACATCAGCCAGGCACTATCCATGTACAACCAACACGTCTACTAGGCTGCTTGGAGTTCCGAACTGAGTGAACACAAGTTCAGAGAGTCTGCTGGACTGCTGAAGGTCACACAGCAGTAGAGAGCCTGGGACCATAGTTTTCAAGCTTGCTTACACATTTGCTGAGTACCAAAAGAAAGAAAAACTCAAAAACAGTTGCCATGGAGTTGATTCCAACTCACAGCGCCCTCATGTGTGTCAGTGTAGAATTGCTCCATAGGGTTTCTAGGCTGTCATCTTTATGGAAGAGTCCTGGTGTGGCACTGTAGGATAAGCATTGGGCTGCTAACTGCAAGGTCATTGCTTGAAACCCACCAATCCCTGTGCAGGGTCACTATGAGTTGGAACCAACTCGATGGTACTTCACAACATCAACACCAGTCTTTGTGAAAGGAGCCTTTCATGATGGCTAAGCTGAGTGGACTGCTAAATGGTTTGAACCGACCACCTTCTCCGCAGTCTTGTTTCCATCAAGATTTGCAGCCTTGAAACCCTAAGGAATAGTTTACTCTTTGCTATTGGGTAGCTATGAGCCAGAATCCACCAATTGTGCTGTTGGGAGTGAATTCTGCAAAGGTGTCACCTATGGGTGTCTCTGTGACAGGAGGAGAGCGTCTTCTGGTGACGTTTTCAGGATGTTTCTATCTTGAAGTAGCAGCTGGCAGGCTGGGAATGGAAGCCCGATGCGTTGGCCACACCTCATCCCCACTAGACTTGCCTGAGAATCCTGTTGCAGGTATTTGCTTAAGTTGACTCGTTGCAGAGCGTCAGGGGAACACCGTTTTGCATTTGCATAACTTGGCTCATCCTATTAGGTAGCACTGCCTCTTACTAGAAGAGGTGATTCCATCCGACTGCGTGATGAGGTCAGAGAGCCAGGTTCAGCAGCCCTGGTTGGCACCTGGGGACACCTGGGGCGAATCTCGGAACCTCTCGCAGCCTGTGTTCCCTTCCCTCTGAAATGTGGTTGGTTGTTGCCCTTGAATCGATTTCAGCTCCTGGTGACCCTGTGTGTTTGGAGTAGAACTACGCCAGCGGGCTTCCAAGGCTGTGACCTTTTGGGAATATGTTGCCAGGCTGGTCTCCTAGTGAGTTTCTGGAAGGGTTTGAACCACCAACATTTCAGTTGGCACTTAACCATTTGTGCCAACTAAAGATTCCTTTGGAGTCCTGGTGTGGTGCTGTAGGAGAAGTACTGGACCGCTAACCGCAATGTCAGCAGTTTGAATCCACCATCTGCTTCTCAGGAACCTTATATGGGTTGCTATGAGTTGTTACCAGCTTAACATCACTTAACAAACAGCCACAAAGTCCTTTACTGTATAATACCACCCCTCCCTTCCAAAAAACCCTACACCTGTTACCATCAAGTTGATCCTGATTCAACAACTCAATAGGACAGAGAAGAGCGCCCCCTAGAGTTTCCAAGGCTGTCCTCCCTATAGACACAGAC